TCCACAACTGTTGGCATTTTTGGAACACTTCCTGCTTTGGGAGACATGAAGCGTGCAAACATTCAAAGGTTTCCGGGATATCCGAAATTTCCGGCATTGCTGGGTGTTCTGGATTTGTTTGGAATTTCTACGACTTCGTGGATTTCTGGCACTTTTGGAACTTCTGGAATGTATGAAACATCTGGAATTGCTGGAATGTGGGACGTTGTTGACTTTCGGGGATGTTGCTGAATAATTGAAGGGGGCCTCGGGGGCATGGTTCGAAAACTGGAGTCTGCCTGGAATCCCCGAAAAGTCAGAATCCCAGAGATTCGAGAAATTATCATTCCAAGAATATTATATAAATAACAACAATCAGACGGTTTCCAACAATTCTTCAGGATAGCGGCGCCGGCCCTGGCCTGCCATGCACAGAGGAGTGCAGACTGCCCTTTGTCGCCGAGGGCATTGCAGAAAGAGGGTCCATCGGCCCTGACACCTTTCCAGTAAAATGCAATACAACATAATACAGTACGACAGGGGCGATATAAGCCCGGAAACTTCAAGACTAGCAACAAATCGACGAGAGCAGCGCCGCGCCGCCAGCTTGGCGCCAGCTGGCAAGTCTTCAGAGTAGATGGAGTGCCTCGCGGAAGGGCTGCTTGGGGCAAGCTGCGGCGCGGGGGTCGAGATCGGCATGCCAGCAATCACGTCTGGCAAAGCACCGAAACGCCCTGAGCATCTCACGGCGTTGCTTGCACAAGCTCTGCGGGACGGTCCCCATCTGCCCTCGGCGGAGCAGCTTGCGACTGGGCAAGATTCTGAAGCGTCCGCACCATCCGCCCTAGATGCCGTGGCGCCGCGGGGGTTTGCGGCCATACTGCACGCTGACGACTCGGGGGGCGGCGCAGGTGTCGTAGACTCTCCTGGCGGGCTGTGCGATCAGGCACAAAGCATCTCCGCACACCAAATCAGGTCAACATGCCATATTCGTGCACGGGAACACCGCCGCGCGGGAGGCTGGCCCAAAAGCGGACCCGGTCACGATGCCCCCTGGCTGGGTGCAATCCTGTGCCGTTGCAGCTCGCGCCGTGCCACACTTGGCTCGGAGTGCGCAGTGGCCAGTCGACGTGGACTGGGCAACATCCTCAAGACGAGGCTCGGCGCGGGATTCTCGCAGTGCGCAATACTGGCGGGATCCGTCGCCTCTGCGGTCCTCCCGGTAGCTGCCGCGCTCGGGCTTTCCGAGACACAAGAAGCGGCATCTTTTCGGTTCGGGCGGTGGCCGACTCTGCGGAGCAGCTTCTGGATGACAACTACTCCGCCTGGGCCAGAAAATTTTCCTGGACTGTCCGTGGTGGAAGTCTGCGGCGGCGGCCACGGCAAAGGTCGGTTGTGCTCTCTCTGGCGCCGGGCGACCACCGTTCGATGTCTGCTCCCGGCGGGCAGGGTTCTGGCTGCTTCCTGACGGGGGATTGTACAAAGCCGCTGCTGCACGTGCCCACGCCACCTCGGGCAGGTCATGTGCCAAAGCCTCCATCGCGCTACTAGAGCGGTGGCGCCTCCCAGACTGGCCAACCTGGAGAGGTCTCGCTGGAGGGGTGTCGAAGGCCCAATACCAATCCCGACACGGCGATGCCGCCAAGAGCTGGTCAGTGAGCTTGGGGCAGAGCTCTGGCCGCTCCCCTACCTCGCCCTGGGGCCAGTACCGTGCACAGACTTTGGCCGAACTTTGGCCCGCTCCCTTCCTTGGGGAGCCCTCCGAAAGCAGAGGCCAATGTCGCGTTTGAGGTGTCGTTCTTTTCTCTTGAATCCCCTGTCTGGGACGCGTTCATGGCCGTCGTCGTCGTCGCTGCGACGCCCGCGCATTCACGTTATTACCAGCGGTAGGTCGCGCGCGACCGCGCGCGCCACTGCGCTCGCATTTCCGCTCGTCCAGCGGGGGGCCACGCAGACATAATGGTTTTTTGTTTTCATCCATCCACTACTCGTTTGAAGTAATCGTGGGGAAAATACGCCTCTGATGTCCAACATTGTATCACATGCGACGCTCTCCATATGCGCGTGCACCTCCTCACGAAAGTAGCCCTTCTGGGATGTCCAGGAGTCTGCTCCCCCGGGGTACAGAGAGAATTGCGCCAGGACTTGTCTGAGTGCACCCAAGGGATTCTGGGCATGCAGTGCTGGCAATCTGTACATCCATATCCAGTGCGTCGTGGACTTTCTCGGAGGGGACCGCAAGGCCGAGGCGCAATGGATATGGATAAAAAATCAAGCCTCTAGGGGGCAGAGATCTACCCATATCCAGTGCGCTTCAGGTTCCTGGGAAGGGAGCCCGAAACTCCAAGCTGCAGTGGATGTGGACAGAAGTATTGCCCGCGCGCAGAGGCATGCCACCCCCCCCGCGGCCCACGCGGAGCGATGCGAGGCCGTCTTCTCGGCAGCCGGTCGCGCAGAGGCAAAATACTCTGTCTCCTTGGGTGCCTCCCTCTGGAGCGCAGGATGCGGAGTCTGTCCCCGCTCCCCCGCTCCTCCTCGACTTCCCCCCCTCCCTTTTCCTCCCTCCTCCTTGTGCTGCCCCTCTGCTTGCCTCTCCCCTCTCCCTCTCCTCTCCTCCTTTTGTCTGCGGAGGGGTGGTGAGATTCGGGCTCCTTTGCAATTCTGCCCTTCGAAGACCCAACTCTCCGGCACTGCGGAGGTTGCCATCGGTTGCCAGCTCCGGCTCCGTGGCTCCTTTGCTGGCGAGGCCTGCTACATGCCAGTCCAGCTGGGGGCGTGTCCAAAAATCTATCCATCCTCTTCCTCCTCCTTCCCCGTCTCCTCCTCCTTTCCCTTTTCCTCCGCTTCGTTCCCCTCATCAACCTTTCCCTCCTCCTGCTCGTCCCCCCTCCTCCTCCTCTTCATCCTACTCCTCCTCTTCATCCTACTCTCCTCGTCCTTCTCCTCCTCATCCCCACTTCCTCCTCATGCTCCTTCTCATTCCCCGAAAGTACCTCAGGATAGCCCGAATAGCTCTCCAAGAGGCTCGCACGTCGAAAGATCTGCGCATGCCTTCTCCTCCTCCTCCTCCTCCTCCTCCTCCTCCTCCTCCCGTTGCGCCTCATCCTCCTTGTCATTGCCCTTTTTGTCGTCCTTCTTCTCCTCCTCCTACTCCAAGTCCTCGTCTGCTCGTTCTCCTCACCATCATCCTCTTCCCCTCCCTCAACCTCCTCACCCGAACAACTCTCATGGGCGTCATTTCTGGATGGTCTCGTGCGACGCGCCGAGAATTCCAGTCGAGCTTTGAAGCCGGTTAGGTCGATGCGTCTGGAGGACTACACGTCGGTCGGAGGAAGTAGGTAAACATGTAAAGCAGGAAGGCGGATACCATAGGTCGGGTTCGGGCCCGTGCAGAGGAGTAAGAACAGCATCAACAGCATATCGTTTCTTGAAGTGGGAAGGCGCTTGAAGTAGATTGATACTTGGAGAACCAGAAATACCTACTTTCAACGACCGACAGGTATCTTTTAGCACACGAATAGGTCAGGGAAAGAGGAAGGGGAGAACGGACGTGACGAGAAGGCAGGAATGGACGAGGAGGAGAGGCTACGCTGCTCGTCCTCGTCCTCGTCACCAGACGCTCGAAGCCTTGCTTTCGCTCGCAACTTGAATCCACAGAAACATCAGAGAGCCCACAGAAGGACGCACGCGCCCAACCACTTGCATGAACAGGGGCCCCCAATCCGCCAGACTGGCCGCGCACTACGAACGTTCGCGCAACTGCGTGCGTTCGAATCCAACGTGGATTCGTGTACGTGTACGGCAGGTTCGTGTCGTGCCGACCCCAGCGTTGGTTTTTGACACCGCGCGGATCGTTCAACCTTGCACGATCGGCGGCTCTTCGATCGCCCGATCGTTCCATACAGGCCGATTCTGGGCCACTGGCGGCGTTCCACCTTGAACGCCCGCGGCGGGGTCGCCGATGGTCGACACGACGCAAACCTACCGTACGTGTACGTCCTTCCCGCGCTCCCGAGGTATGGACCACTTCCCGGGGACCCGCGCTTCATCCCGAGACGATCTCTGACGGCCCCTGGGGGGCCTGGCGCGGGCCTCTCAGAACCGACGCCGGCAAGCAGCGAGGACGCGACCCGTTCCCGCCGTGACGAAGTCTTCGGGAGCGGCCAAGAGGGGGGTGTCCAACAGAGGGGGGGGGGCAAATCATGCCCGGCGGCAGGAGCGCGGCCCAGCGGGGGGGCCAGGGACGTGATGAAATAAGGAGGGGCGCCACGAAATCTGGGGAGATATCATGGCCCACGCCATGGTACCCACCCCCCCCCCTAGTCATCACCCCCCTCTTTTCCGCCCCCGAAGTCTGGCGTGCGCGCCACCACTCGGGCGCGCGGCGGCCCGGGACGACTCGGGCAGCCCCAGCACGCCCTCGATGGGGCGCAGCCGCTCCTCCTCCCTCCTCCTCCTCCTCCTCCTCCTCCTCCTCCTCCTCCTCCTCCTCCTCCTCCTCCTCCTCCTCCTCCTCCTCCTCCCCCTCCTCCTCCTCCTCCTCCTCCTCCTCCTCCTCCTCCTCCTCCTCCTCCTCCTCCTCCTCCTCCTCCTCCTCCTCCTCCTCCTCCTCCTCCTCCTCCTCCTCCTCCTCCTCCTCCTCCTCCTCCTCCTCCTCCTCCTCCTCCTCCTCCTCCTCCCCCTCCGCTTTCTCCTCCTCTTTCTCCTCCTCAGCTTCCTCCTCCTCCTCCTTCTCCTCCTCCTCCTCCTCCCGAGGCGAGAAGATCCCGAAAGGCCCAGCGCAGGCCCTCCAAACCCGCGGAGCCACCGGGGGGACCTCCGAGGCCCTGCCGCCCCCCCCCCCCTGTTACCAGCCTCGAACTTTATCCCTATCCCTAAGATCGACACGCCAAAAGGCGATAACAATCTTAGGGATTCGCCTTCAAAAAATAAGGGAATCCCTAAGATCGGCATCGTGATGAGGAGATGCCCAGCATAGGGATAGGGATGTGTTCCAGGCTGGTAACCCTGGCCCGCGCGACCTGTTCCTCGACCCACTGCGAGTCCACGAACGACCACACCGCGGCGGACGGCGCGCTCGAGCTGCCCGAGGCCCCGCCGCAGAACACGCGGAACTCGTTGCCGTACCTGGTCATGCGGACGGTGCGGTCGGACCGCAGGCCGCGCCCCTCGGCGGCGCTCTCGAGCAGCACGGGGGCCCCGATGCTCGGCGGCGCGCGCGCAAGGGCGTTGGCGCGGGGTGGGTGGGAGGGCAGCCTTCTAAGCGGGAGGCGGGGGGGGTTCTTTAGATGAGCGCGTTCCACTACTCGCAAAGTAACTACTCGCAAATGGCCTGGATCTCCCGCGGAAAATCTACGATCAATTACATCAAAGCGGACATGTGTTTTTTTTCTGACGTTTGCCAGCAGGCACTTTGCGAGTGGTGGAACGCGCTCGGTGATTCTTAGAAGGCAAAGGTCGCCTCCCCAGATCGGCAAGGACTTAAGACCGACAAATCCGCGCACCCCCGAAGTGGGTACAGGAAGAAACTGTATGATGCCCAACATGTCCAAAACCGACTGTTGAACAGGCGACTTTCTTGCCTCACATGGATAACGTCCTCGGCGACGACCACAACGAATCCTGTCCCAAATGGGACAGACAGGCTGTCGGTCTTCGTCCCCAGACTTTCCGTGCAAACTTCGATCGTACCGATCGATGACACGTGCACCTTCTTTCCAACTGTGCGTTTGCTCATTCGCTTCTTGCGCGCGAGACTCGTAGGTCTCCGGCGACAACACGTCGATGGGGCCGTCGGGCCAGCGTGACGTTGAGACTCTTGCTTGCTCTCCGACACGAGATACCCGAACAAGGCTTCTCCGAAGCCGGAAGGGCCTCTTGGGCCTTCGCGTAAGCCCTCGCCCAGTCGCTCCCAGCACGCCGCGCCCTTCGCGTCGGCGGCCACCTGCAAACCCCACCCACTAATCGACACTGAGCCCCGGCTCGTGTTTCAGATTTCTGGCGGCATGTGAAAAGATGGCACGATACCCAACAGCAAGTGGGCGTTGCTGGACAGGTGCCCTCCTGCCGACGTCGGACAACGCCCGCGGCGACGCCGACAGCGAGTGCTGCAGATGGGCAGAAGCCGACCAGCCATAACTGGGGGAGCTGTGGTCCTCACCCCCCTGGGGGGGCCCATCGCATCGACGATCTCTCTCGAGAGGTGTCGAAATCGATGGATCCCCCAGGGGGGTAAGGACCACAGCTCCCCCTGTTGTGGCTGGCCTGAGATTGAGGGATGGAAAAACGACCCTACCCTGGGTTACGAGTGCGCGGTCTGTAAACCTCCTGGGAACCCCCAAAGCCTAGAGCCGCCAGGACGCGGTACATCGCGCAGGGTTTGCCCTGGTCAGCCCACAGGAGTTTCAGCGCACAGCGCCTCGTAAACCAGGGTAGGGGCGTCTGTTCTGCCCTTGATGAGAAGCTGCTGCCGGCCTTCGTCCCCGCCGGCCCCTCCAGCGCCCACTCCCCCACGGTGCGCGCCGCCAAGATGCGCACGGCCTCTCCTCGGGCGGGGGGCAAACGGGGGAGGTGGGGGCGGGAGGGTGGTGGAGGAGGAGGAGGAGGAGGAGGAGGAGGAGGAAGAGGAGGAGGAGGAGGAGGAGGAGGAGAAGGGGGCATTGGGGGGGTGACCCACAAAGGGGGGGGGGGGGGGACGACAAGGGCCCCAAAGAGGCCCTCCAGAGCCCTCGCCTCGACCCCCCATTGAACTGGGGCGGGTCTCCCAGAAGCCCCCCCAGCAATAGACGAGGTCAATCCTTTCCCCGGCGGCCTTCTTGACGGCCTGGGGCCCCACCAACCATGGGAAACACCTCGTGATTTCTCCGCGGCACCCGCCGCGCAGCGGCGACCCCTTCCCAGACATGCGACGTCCTACTTTTTTCAGAACGGGGTCCCTGGAAGTCCCGACCCGTTCCCTGGAACCGGAACTCCATCCTGAATCGTTTCTTGTCGGTCCCGAGGCATGGCGGGGCCCCCCCGAGGCCGAAAGTGCCCCAAAACCTCCCGTCCTCCTCCGCCTCCGCCTCCTCCTCCTCCTCCTCCTCCTCCTCCTCCTCCGCCTCCACCTTCTCCTCCTCCGCCTCCGCCTCCTCCTCCTCCACCTCCTCCTCCTCCTCCGCCGCCTTCTCCGCCTCCTCCTTCACCATCTCCGCCGCGTTCTCCGCCTTCTCCGCCTCCGCCTCCTCCTCCTCCTGATTCTTGTTGCGACGCGACCACGTCCGGGATTGCCACCCGCCTGCGCTCCCTCGGCGGCGGGGGCGGCCGGCACGGCGCGCCACTGCGTGCCCGCCGCCGCGCGCGCGTAGAGGCAGGCCAGCGTCTCGCCCTCGCCGAGCACCTCGTCTTAGGTCGGGCACGCCCCCCCTACAGGCGGATTCTGGACGAGCAATCACAAGCACGCAGAGAATATTCAAAACGTGGTCACAAAATACAAATGAAACATCGTCCCTGGGCTATTTTGTGATTCCATTTGAATTGTCCTCCTGTAGAGGGCCACGCCCGCCATAAACCGCCTCTTCCTCCTCCTCCTCCTGCTCCTCCTCCTCCCTCCTCCTCCTCCTCCTCCTCCTCCTCCTCCTCCTCCTCCTCCTCCTCCTCCTCCTCCTCCTCCTACTCCTCTTCCTCCTCCTCCTCCTCCTCCTCCTCCTGCTCCTCTTCCTCCTCCTCCTCCTCCTCCTCCTCCTCCTCCTCCTCCTCTTTCTCCACCCCCTCCTCGTCCTCGTCCTCCTGTAGAGGCAGGCTGGAGTCTCGCCCTCGCCGAGCACCTCGTCCTCGAGGCCCGCCAGGCCTCCGCCCGAGGCGGCGGCGAGGACGTACAGCGGCCGGTCGTGCAGCCCTGGGCCCGTGCCGAGCCGGAGCAGCTGGCCTGAGGCGACGGAGAGAGCAAGAGAACAGGGGGCGATGCCGATGCTGATGCTGGTGATGATGGTGATGATGGTGATGCTGATGCTGATGCTGATGCTGATGGTGCTGATGGTGCTGATGCTCGGGAGCTCCCGAACGAAGTCAATCCCACCCTCCCCCTCAGAAATCGTGGGGGTGGGAGGGGAAGGGTTCGCATGTGGCCCCCTGTGGAGGTGCTCACTACTTTGAAGTCGGGCCTGTCCCTCTAGAGGAGGAATATGCCAAGATAGTGGAACAAATGGTCGGGGGGCTTTTGGTTGTATGTTTGAGCATCTTTGGGGCATGCTTTGACTTCTCTTGATCCTTCGTCGAAAATCCGCCTGTAGGGGCACAGGCGACAACCGCGACAGAACGCGACACGAACGCGGCGACAAGGGAGGGAATAAAGGACGAGAAAAGAAGAGGGGAGAGAGGGGGTGCACGGAGAGTGAAGGCGGAAACCTCTTCACCAACCGCGGCACCTTCCTTCTGAGCACACGAGGGGCGACGGCGCGGGCGAACAGCCCAGGCAGGGGGCCACATGCGAACCCTACCCCTGCCCCCCACGATGTCTGGGGGGGTGGGTGGGTCTCACTTCGCAGAAATCGTGAACCCCACCCGTCCCCGAGAAATCGTCGGGGGTGGGGGTAGGGCTCGCATGTGGTCGGTGGTGGCGACAGTGGTCCGTGCCTTCGGCGAGGCTCCCGGGCGACTGCGTGTCCTTAAATGCCCACCCCTGGGGCTGTTCGCTCGGGTCGGGCATGTCCTCCTACAGGCGGATTTTGGAAGAAAGATAAGACACAGTCAGACAATAATCTAAACAAACAATCACTGAACACGAACATCGTTCCCACACTACTGTCTCACCGCGGTTGCAAAAACTTCCCCTGTCGAGGGACATGCCCGACTTCACTATTCGCCCCTCCCGTCGCCGCCGACCCGTGAAGAGGGGATTAGGGGGCCGCATGCGAACCCTACCCCTACCCCCCACGATTTCTGAGGGGGAGGATGGGGAGGGCGTCCAATGGCCATCGCTCGGACGTCCATTCCCTGTGTTTTTGTTCGGTTTCGTGCGTGTTTTTTGCGCCAAATGATCAAGGATGCTCCTCGATGGTCCTCGCCGAGAAAAAATGCACACGTCCGAGCGATGCCGAGTCCACGGCCAGAGCGCAGGGGGCTAGCGAATCACGGAGCTGCTTCTCCCGGCCCCCCCGGGCGCCGAGCGGCCACGTCTCGGGGAGGCCGCGCCCGGCGGCGGGCTCGAAACCAGCCGCCTGCAGCAGCTGTCGTGACCCCCTGTCTCGACCCCTCCCCCTGCTCCTCCTCCCCCTCCTCCTCCTCCTCCTCCTCCTCCTCCTCCTCCTCCTCCTCCTCCTCCTCCTCCCTCCTCCTCCTCCTCCTCCTCCTCCTCCTCCTCCTCCTCCTCCTCCTCCTCCTCCTCTCCTCCTCCTCCTCCTCCTCCTCCTCCTCCTCCTCCTCCTCCTCCTCCTCCTCCTCCTCCTCCTCCTCCTCCTCCTCCTCCTCCTCCTCCTCCCTCCTCCCTCCTCCCTCCTCCCTCCTCCCTCCTCCCTCCTCCCTTTGGCTCAAGACCTGAGCACACCGCGGGAGGTGCAGGTCACAGCATTGCCATCCAGGGCAGGCCCTGGGTGCTGGGGCTCAAGCCTGTTGCTCAGCCCCCGTGCCTGCCTGGTCAGCCCCAGGCAGAGGCACAGTCACGTCCCGCCTCAGTGCTGCCATAGGGCCTCTCGTGTGCGTGCGCCAGCGTGCCGCCATCAGGAGATGCCCGTCCAGCAGAAGAAGTATTTGGTCTGCTCGAAGCGTGGCTGCAAAGGCTGGGCTTGGTGCTCCACTAATACTCGTCATTGTATGCAGTGTGGTAGCCGTTTCAAGCAGTGCGGGGATCATGGTCCCCCAGCTCGACCCCAAGGTGGTGGAGGAGGCCCCCAGGATGTTCGGCCTGACGTCGCGGAGGTGCCGCCCAAGCCAGGACGCTGGAGGAAGGGCTCCCGCGGTCCTGAGCGCCCACCAGGCCTGGGGCGCGGAGGCGGCCGATCGGTCACCTTCGAAGATGCAGTCCCCCCTGATGACCAAGTTGCCCTGGCTCAAGCTCAAGTCACCTTCTGGAAGAAGTGGAAGCCAGATGGAGAGGAGCACAAGTCGGCGCTGGGCAAGCTCAAGTTCGCCAAGGCGCAGGCTCTGTCGGCCAAGAGCCTGGAGCAGCAAGCGCAGTCCCTGTCTGATCAGCTCCAGGTGCTGCGCCAGAGGTTGCAGTCGCAGAGGCAGGAGGCCAGCGAGCTGGTTACCACAATTGTCGAGGCAAGTGAGTATCACGGCAAGCTGGTCGAGGAGATTGAAGCTAATACAAAAGAAGTGCAGATGCTGGAGACGCAGCTCAATGCGGCCACCCAGGCGGCTGCGTATGAGGCATCTAAAGACGAAGATTTGCTCACCACCATCCAAGGAGTCATATCCGCCAGAATGCCACAGGGCGGACTGGCCCCACCAGAACTACGTGACAAGGTATCGGAGCTGGCCGCCATGTTCGACAGCTTGCAGCAGCAACACGTCGCCTCCCAGGCCTCGGTCGCGTCCGCTGGTGTCGGCCCGCCTGCGGTGGCGGCTCCGAGCGGGGTCTTCAACGATGGTTTCCCTGCAGATGGAGAGAGCCCTGATGATGGCCAGGCAAGTCAGGCGCCCGCGCCTATCCCAGGCCAGCACGTCCCCACCCCTGCCGACGACAAGGAGCTGGAGACCGTGGCAGAGGCGCAGGCCATGGACACGTCTGAAGGTCGCCGCCGCGCGGCTGCTGCGCTGTCCGACGTCGCCCAGGGCATGGCCAAGGTCCAGAGTGAGTCAGGCCCCGAGACCAAGAAGGTCAAGGCGGCGGCCGAGTCTGCTGCGCTCGCGGCCGCCCAGGGCCCGAAGTCGCCAGGGTAACATTTATAAGATTGCTACCATCAATGGTTCGTGCTGGCCTGCAGTTCGTAAGTTTGTCCTTTCGCCGCAGTCCAGTGCAGTCAAGATTATCTGTGCTCAGGAGTGTAAGCTTGCCGACGGAGATAGCATTGTGCGTCAGATACAATGGTGCTCGGCCCAGGGGTGGCTGGCTTACATCACGCCTGCAGCCAGGAATGAGAATAATGAGTTGGTTTCGGGAGTTGCGATTTTGATTCGGGATGGCTTGGGCTTGGGGGTCCAGCCGATCACTTTTTCCGCCGCTTTCGACCCCGCTCGATTATCGGGGGTGCTTCTCGAACTTCCTGGGGTCCCGAAGCTCGCCATATGTAGTGCCTATTTTCAGGCTGCTGCTGGTCTCTCCGAGACCAATTTAAAACTTCTGGCCGCCATAGGCCAACTTCAGGATGATTTGACCCATCCAGTTTTGGTTGCAGGGGATTTTAACCTGGCCCCCTCTCGGTTGGCCCAAGCAGAGTTCCTGTCCAGGTCCACGATGACCGTGCTTGTGCCGCCGACCGCCACCTACAGAACTAAGAAGACCAAATCTACTCTAGATTATTTCCTGTCTAGCCAAGGCCTCTCGCCGTGGCTCAGAAACCCCCGTACTCTGTCCTCGTACCCTCTCTCCCCTCACAGACCTGTGCTGCTAGATATTGTAGTTGAGAATAATTTCAATATCCCCACGCTGCATAGGCCCCAGAAGCTACCCACACGTATCCCTGTGGGCCCGCAATTGCCAGAAGTGAGTTGGCACCAGTCAGCTGCTGCGTTGGAGTACGCTTCACAATTTTTCGATGATGCTCGACGGCCGCTCAGTGATCAACAGCAGTCGGTGCTCTTGGACCACGTGTATTTCAGCTTGGCCCAGGACTTGGAAGCTACAATCAGTAAGAAAACTAACACCTCCTCAAGCCTAGCAAGTACCCCAGGGCCCACCCCCCTCAGGTTCTCATGGTCCCCGCTGAGGCCAAGGCTGCTAGGAGTAGGGCTAAATGGGTGGCCTACACGGGCCCTTTGCGATGGCTTATCAATAGGATTCAAGATTTCCATAGATGTGTTCAGGACTGGAATCTCACTGAGTTTCAGGACGCTCTCGACAGCTTAGAGGATTGCCATGAGCTGTTCACCACCGTCGCGTCCCTCAAGGAGGCGCTGCAGGAGATTAGAGTTGCCGCAGGTTCGTTGCACGTAGATTTCAGCGCCGGTGCCCTGAACCAGGCGCTGGCGATCCAGGTTCTGGACGAGCTGCTAGAGCACGTCACCAAGCTCCTGTATCAGGAGCAGGCGGCCGAGAACGCTGCCGACGGGAAGGCATGGAGGGATTGGGTTCAGGACAACATGAAGGGAGGAATGGGATGGGCTCACAGATGGTCTAAGCGTTTGGAGGCCTGGAGGCCCTCGTCAGTTCCATACAAGTCGCAATATTCTGGCAGGCCCCAGCATATATTGTAGGTAGAAGCTGATCGTCTGGCTAAAATATGGCAGGCTTCCCAGGATACCCCACTACAGCTCGTTCCTGACAGAGATGATCGTATTGCCCTGGGCCCCATCAGCCCCAAGAGATTACGACAAGTTGCGAAAAGTTTCCCCCATGCCACAGCCTCTACCTGGGACGGTTTCCACCCCGGGCATTTCAGTATGTTGAATAATGAGCAGGCAGAGATTGTCTGCGATTTTATCGGCCTGCTTGAAAAGATTGGACATATGCCAACCCAGCTCCAAGGTATCGTATCGACTCTTATGATGAAGTTGAAACAACATGATGCCCCAGCCAGTCAGCCTTCTTTCAGGTCCATTGGCATGCTCCCAGCTTTGTACAGAATCTGGGCTAGGCTCAGGAGGTCAGCGGCCAGAGAGTGGGAGGCACACCGCCGCAGGCCGTACCTTGCTCATCAGGCTGGCCACTCCATAGTGGAATTAGTATATAAACAATCCTTGGAATGCGAGTTCAATAGCTCTGACAAAGATCAACAATATAGTGCCCAAGTTCTCTACGATTTATCTAACTACTACGAACCTGTTGATCGGCCATGTCTCGCACACCGTGCTGTTGAATCAGGTTTCCCGTGTTGTTTATTGCGTATCATATTATCTCAATATGCCAGCGAACGCATAGTTGCACTACAAGATTGTGCAGTCAGTGTAGGCAAGCCTTGGGGGGGCATTGCCGCCGGATGCAGTTGGGCCACCTATCTTGTGCAAATGTATGTGCTTGCCCCGCTCGACGTGTGGACGCAGGCGCATTGTCATATCAGGCTCGCGATGTTTATAGATGGTCTGCTGCTCCAGTGCCACGGCCGCAGTTACAGCCTCATCGTCAGCCAGCTTAATATTGCTGCCAGGTCCATGGCAGACTGCAGCATCAATGAGTTTAAGTGCCAGATAGCCAGCAAGAAAAGTCAGGTCCTGGCGTCCCAACAAGCCCTTCATGATCAACTCAGGACTGCTCTCGGGCCTCTGGCAGGCCCGAACGCGGATAGGTCTGGACCTAACCTGGGATGTGAAACAGGGGCTGGACGGCCCCAGCGCCGTTGGAGAAAGCATCGTAAGATTTCGGAGCGTCTTGATAAGATGCGTACAAGACTTAACAGGGTTCGCATGCTCAAGAGAGCTGGGGGTAACACTCATAAGTTGTATAAGACTGGCCTCGAGGCGGCCACCACTTTCGGAGTCGAGGTGACTGGCATCAATGGCACGCAGTTGGAATCTGCTAGGTCGCAGTTTTTGGCTGCTGCGGGACCCCGTTGCCCGACGCGCAGCCGCAGTCTGGCCCTGCTCATCCTCAAGGACCCCTTGTGGAAAGCTGCCTTGGGCCCTGCCATTATGTGGCACCGCCTTGTCTGGGACGCCGCCACCCGCCCCCACCTTGCCGTGGCCAGTCTCCAGCAGCTGTGTGGTTGGGCTGAGGCCATCCTCCCGAGAGTTTCAAAATCTTGGGGCTCCTCCAGGGGCCCTCTCAGTGCCGCGGTGCTTTCGCTTAAAAGGATCGGTTGGAAATTCCAGGGACCGTTTACCTGCGTGACCTCCTCAGGCATTGAGTACCCTCTCCCAGGACATTCCCCCGCTCTCCTCCAAAAGCTCATGGAGTTCGACTGGCACGGCCAGCTCGCCGCCAAGGCGGCCGAGAAGATCGGCCACCAGAACGCTCAGTTAGATGTGGTTGCTGCCCGTGCTGCCCTGTCGTCGCCAGACCTCCTTGGCAACCAGAAGGGAACCCTCCTCGCCTTCCTCACTCAGAGCATATGGACTATGGACAGAGCCAAGGCAGCAGGATACGAAGTCGAGACTGGCTGCGAGTGCGGCCACCATTCGGACAACCTCGGCCACCGCATACTAAGACAGAGAATCTCAGAGCCACTCATTTCTCGGCAGCGGAGCTTCAGAACTTAAGAGAGCCCCCTCCCCAGACCCTGCCCCAGTACCTCGGTTTCCAGTTGGTCCCCGAGTATCGTGGTGAGAACCCTCCTGGTTCGGGCCTGGAGTTTGGGGAGTTTTGGTGTGCTCAGGATGGGGTCACCCCTCAGGAGGCTTTCAGCGACGGGGAAGTGTATATAGACGGTAGTTGCACTAACCACGGTCACTATGTCTTCAACGCCGCAGGTTTCGCGGTTGTCTGTATGCGTAACGGCGAAGCTTTTGCCCATTTCAGTGGCCGAGTCGGCCAGATGTTTTTACAAACCTCTGGAGCCGCGGAGCATTTGGCCGCTGTTGCGGCCAGTTTTCTGTCTAGGGATGTGGAAGCGATTTACTCTGATTATAAAGGAGTTCTGTCTCTGCACCAAGGTACAGAGTACCCTCGGCGCAACTTGTGGGCTGGGTGTAAGGTGTTGGCTGGCAGAGGCCAGTTCCCCCTCGACCAGCGCTTGCGTAAGGTCAAGGCCCACCAAGTTATTCAGGCCCTCTCCGAGGGCAGTGAAGAGCGCCGGCTGGCCGAAGGTAATGATGCTGCTGATCGGATTGCCAAGGCCGCCGCTTTTAAAGTAATGCAGCCCAGCGAAGCAGAGAAAAACGATTTCACAGACAGTCGGAAGTTTCTCATTCGATATTTGAAGTATGTTGCTCAGGCTCTGGGAGAGTGGCCCGCGATCGCCCCACGCCGTAACAAAGCCTTGGCCGCCCCTGAGAAGAGTTTGTCTCCCCCCTCGGGCGCCGCCTCTGCCCTTGCGTCGTGGTCGCCGCCGTCGTCGGTCGAGCCTCCCCCTCCTCCGCCTCCTCCTGAGCCCCACGAGGAGCCCAGGGAACCCTTCAGGTATCACACGTGGGCTCTCATCCGTCAGTACTATAGGTGCATCCTGTGTAGGGTGCAGACCAAGTCGTTCAAACAGCGGGAAGTTTTACAGGCCCAGCATTGCCCAGGCCACTGTAAGCAGCTTTCCGATCTTGTGCATGATAATAAAGGCCATGATTTGTTTTACTACGAGCACCTTGATCACCCGACGAGTATCTTGGTTTGCCATAAGTGTGGATCCTTCTCTGAGGGGTTGGGTCGAGGGCTCACCAGTGTGTGCGGCACTAGAGTGAGCCACCAAGGAGCGGCCACTCAGTTAGCCCGCGTCCAAGAGGGTCGAGATCCAAAGGGCACAAAGTCGTCCCCGATCGTTTATAAGACCCCCGCAATTCCCCTGGCCCAACTGGTGCGCGAGGAGCGTGCCAAGGCCCAGGGAGAGGAGGCACAAAACCCTCCTTAGTCGGCCGTGCTCTCTCGCGGCGGACATCGAACAATCCCAAGCTATGTGCGTGTCCTCCTCCTCCTCCTCCTCCTCCTCCTCCTCCTCCTCCTCCTCCTCCTCCTCCTCCTCCTCCTCCTCCTCCTCCTCCTCCCCCCAAATGGGGTCCGAGCAGAAGAGGCTGGAGCATCGCGCCGCCTCGCCGGTGCATCGGCAACACGGCGCGGCTCTCCGACCCCATCTATCGGGGGCGCGCAAACATGGATTAGCGATCCGTGGATTTGGCGCGCGGTCGCCAAATCCAAGACTCGGGGGAGGTGCCCCTCCCAAAATGCGGCCGGTGCCCCCTCGGTCGGTGACGGAAATCAGCGATTCCCCATGGAAACGGGACCCGTCGCTAATCCACGCCGCCTTACTCCATGTTTGCGATCGCCTGAAATGTGGGAGGCCTGGACAATCCCCCCCCCTTCCCACTGGAGGTCTGGAGCCTCTCCCCCCGGGTCCCGCTCCTCACCCCGAGCACTCTTGGGGGGTCCCAAAACCCAGACCCCTTCGGGCACTGAAAAAATCATAGCGGGAATTGTTTTGCTATTTTCGGCCTCTCGGGACCGCCAAAAAACGACTCAGGATGACAAACCAGTCCAAGGGAATGGGTAGAGACCTCCAAAGGTCGCCATAATGAAAAAATCATGACGTCGGGGGTCTGGGAAGCGTGTGGTGACAAACCCGGCGATGACCTCGGAATCCGCACGGACCTCGCCGCAGGGTCCGTCACCGCAAGGCTTCGGGACCCTGGAGGCTCCAGTCGTCCGAGACCATCCTCGGAGAACGACCCAAACTTAGGTCGGGCCTGTCCTCCTGCAGGCGGATTTTGGAAGAAAGCTAACACACAGCTTGAATATGGCCAAAATTAGTCAGACGATCACGGGAGACTCGTCCCAAAACTATTCGTTTACCATTCTTGAACATTCCTCGTGTAGAGGGACATGCCCGATTCAACCCAAGTCCCCCAAACCTTGCGGTGACCCCCAATCCCCACCAACTCACCACACTGTGACCGGTGTGGTCACCGCACCGCTTGGGGGCCCCCGATCCTCGCTCCGAGTACTCCTCTGTGACGGCACCGGACCCGCGGAGGCCGAAGAATCTGCTGTCGACGCGAGGGTGTGTGTGTGTGTTCGTCCGGCCCAGCGGGCCGTAGTGCAGGCGAGGGTCCTCCCCGAAGCCGTCGTCGTCCCGGACCCGGGACACCGTGAACACGCTCCTGAGGGCCACGATACGATAGGAGGCAACTACTTGGAGGCGGAAGGACAAAAGAGGATTAAGGCCCGTTGGGGAGCTGTTACGCTGGAAGAGGCCTCGGATTAAGTAAAATTAAGCCGGATTCAAGCGGGATTAAACGGGATCAAGTCGGATTAAGCGGGATTAAGCTGGAGTAAACCGGATTGCGGACCAGGGCAAAATCAGAAGTTGACCTCCCAGGAGTTGCATCCGAAGTTACGGTAGGTAGGTTCAAGCGGCGTCAGCACGCGAAAACGTTTTTGACACCGCGTCGAGCGTTCCACCTTGCATCGCTAAAAGGTTGGTATCCAGCGGGTCCAGTGTCGTCACCGTGTCCATCGGTGCCTCCGCGCGTCGCAGAATTCAACCTTGAACGCCTTCGCCGGCGTCGCCGGCGCGCCAACGCGGCATGAACCTACCGCAGGCGGGGACTGGCTCAGAGGGGGGGAACATCCGGCTCGAATCGACTACACATCGACGATCGACGGGCGATGTGCCCCAGATGGCGACACCGCCCGTGCCTGGGCGGGGGCGAGCTCTCGGGACCCTACCTCGGCGATGCGGGCCCCCAGCCCAGCGGCGGTGGGCTCGTGGGCTCGTATAGAACTCGTCGCTTTCATGCACTCGGACGAATGGGGGGTCGATGCGTTCCCCCCTGAGCCTGCCCCCGCCCCAGACATGCGACGTCCTGCTTTTGTCAGGACGGCGCCCCCCGAAATCCAAACCCTTTCCCGGGGCGGGCTCTTTATCCCGAGTCGTTTTTGGACAATCCCGAGGCTTTGCGGGGGCCCCCCGAGACCGATTTTTCATCCCGAGACGTTTTTTGGCGGCCCCGAGGGCCGGCGAGGGCCCCGAGAGCGCGAGAACTGCAAAAAACATGGGTCTCGATTTTTTCGAGACGCCCGATGTCTGGGTTGCCCCTTGCGCTCCGCGGGCACGCCGCGAGCGCCAGCCCCGTGGAGAGGGGCGCGCCGGTCCCCGCGGGCCCCGCCCGCGAGGCGGCGGGCACGGGCACGCTCCCGGCGGGGTCCGCCTCGGCAGCGCGCGCGCCGGAGGAGCAGCGTTGGATCGATCCGGGTGCCCAGGGGCGTGCCCTCACACTGGCCGGTTTACCTCCTCGGATGGGGATATAGGCTGTTCCCTATCGGCGGTGGACAAACCTCCCTTCAGTAAACCTCCCCTTAATGAAAACGGCCTGGGACCGAAACCGACGGACCTGGACCCGCAACCGTGACGCCCTCTCGCGACCCGAAAACGGCAAATTCCTGAATCGACGTGTCATGGTAGGAGGTGTGTCAATCTCTGGCCCTAACTGGGGTGGTGGGATGGTGGGCGGGTCCACAGGGGTGGCGGCGGCGTGGTGGGGATCGGGACAGGGGTGGGGCTCGCGATCGGGCAAACGATGCCGACACCACGGGGCGGCTTTCACGGGCGGCCGACGCATCCAAATCCGCACCCTCGCGGCCTGGATTCGGGACCGCGATCTAACGGAGACGCGGCCACCCGGGTGCGTTCCGCGCGGGGCATCCGTGAACCAAACCGCCCCGTATCCGTGGGGTCGCGGCCGGCCCCGACCCTGTCGGCGTGTGGAAGACGCATCCCGGTGTCGTCGTCTTGCGTGGATCACCGTCGTCGTCGTCGTCGTCATCGTCGACGCCTGGAATAAAAGGAAACCGATCACGAAACGAAAGGAAATCGTAGTCGTGGCGAAGCCCCTCCCTACCTTCCCCACCGAGGAAAAGGGGCGGAGGGGGAGGGGGGGGGCAGATACGCATCCCCCCCGGGCGACCCTCTCCCTCCCTCATCCCCTCCCCCTCCCCCTCCTCCTCCTCCTCCTCCTCCTCCTCCTCCTCCTCCTCCTCCTCCTGCTCTTCCTCCCTCCTCTCCTCCTCCCTCCTCCTCCTCCTCCTCCTCCTCCTCCTCCTCCTCCTCCTCTTCCTCCTCCTCCCCCCTCCCCCTCCCCTTCCTCCTCTTCCTCCTCCTCCTCCTCTCTCCTCCTCCTCCTCCCTCCTCCTCCTCCTCCTCCTCCTCCTCCTCCCTCCTCCTCCTCCTCCTGCTCCTTCCTCCTCCTCCTCCTCCTCCTCCTCCTCCTCCTCTCCCTCCTCCTCCTCCTCCTCCTCCTCCTCCTCCTCCTCCTCCTCCTCTTCCTCCTCCTCCTCCCCCCTCCCCCTCCTCCTCCTCCTCCTCCTCCTCCTCCTCTTCCTCCTCCTCCTCCTCCTCCTCCTCCTCCTCCTCCTTCTCCTCCTCCTCCTCCTCTTCTCCTCCTCCTCCCCCCTCCCCTCCCCCTCCTCCTCTTCCTCCTCCTCCTCCTCCTGCTCTTCTTCCTCCTCCTCCTCCTCCTCCTCCTCCTCCTCCTCCTCCTCCTCCTCAAGATGATTGCTGCACAATCGTCGCAAACGACTGGGGCATGGCTCATGCACGTGCTCGACTTCCTTGTACTCCCTGACCGCGCATGCCCGCAGTGTCCGGCGAACTCGGTGCTTTTGGACTGGGTCGATTCGCGCGCCGGCGAATGCGGCTTCTCTCACCAAGCACAGGGATTGGGGAGGCGGGCCTTGCGACGCTGTCACACGAGTCGGCTCTTCACTACTGGGTGGAGGAGCTCTGCTTGGAGCTCGGGGCGGTATTTTTCTTCTTCTCGTCGCTGAGCTTGACCGCGTCGTGGTCATAGCTGATATAGCAGACCATTGCGCTGAGGGCGATCCCTCTGCCAATGCTGCCTTTGGTCATGGGGTCGGCCCGCGTTTCCCGAGAGTCGCACCAAAGCAGATATGCCTGGTGCGAAGCTGGTTTGCCAACCGCCGCAGGTGACGAGCCATTCTGTTCTCGGAAGGCGGCCGCGCGCGATCAATGAGCAGGGCGCCGAAGACGGACGCGCCGTCGAGGACGAGATCTGCGTGGATCGCGCAAACTCGGCAGAGGCAGGGCCGCGCGCCATCTCGCGCAGTGCGAGGAAGCGCGCCTGCAGACCGCCAGCTTCGCCGCGCGCTGCGTGCACATCTTGGCCGAACGAGGACCTGCTCACCAGCTTGTACAATCGGTTCACTGCGCCCAACATGTGGCGCGCCGATTGCCAGTGCGGCGGCGCTTGCTGAAACGCATGTACACGGCCCCTCGCGCGCCATATCCTGTTTCCTCCTACCTCTTGAAAGACCCGTCGCTGGGCGCGCTGAGTCGCCTGGGGCACACCATTGGTGGAAATGCGTTGCGCGCCTCGATCTTCTGCGTGGCCATGACGACTGAGTCTGAGCTGCGTCAAAGTGTCGGACGAACAGCATGTTCTCGGCCCTCTGAAATGTGGTGCTGGGTGAACAATACATGGGCTGCTGCACCCAGGAAAGAGACGATGGTGTCTGGACGCCGACCTATGGCCGGCTCGTCTGCCTGGGCCGTGACCAGGTCGACGTGCCTGATCTGCGTCCGATAGAGTCGATCTACTCGTCCTGGTCGAGCGTCATTGCAATATCCGCACTGCAGTGCTGGCGCGCTCAGCAACTGATGCAATCGTCGTAGTCGCCCCGAGTCGCTCGTGCCACAGGCACCAAGCGTCATGTTTGACCTCAGGCCACGGGCCCCACCTGGCGGGATTGGCTCTTCACACCAATGAGCACGCGACGCCGGCGAGCTTCGCGAAGAAGACTCGGGGCGCACCCTTGCAGCCCGTGCCCAGCTCGATGGATGCAGCGCAGGCACTCGGTCCGCGCGCCCTAGCCCCCGCAAGCCTGCACCTGCCTGAGCATAATGGCGCTGCCGGGCGGCAGGGTGAAGTTCACTTCGCGGGGTGCTCCACCTTGTCCCTGCATCTCGGCGCAGGTCATGCCCCGCAGATTCGCCTCTTCGACGCTTGCGGCAACTTGAACCCGATCCCGGCGGCTCGTCGCATCTGCGGAGGACAGCGGGGGCTGCGACGCCCGCTTCGCTGCCCCAGCGAACGTCTCCAGGGCTTCTGCGCCAATGTCGCGGGGGGCCCCGAGCGCCGCGCGGCGCCGGATGATCTGGACCTACCCGCATTGGCTAAACCAAATAATCTGCGCCTTCGGCAGGCTCGTTGTATAATTTGTAAAAAGCTTTCGCGCCTGCGGCGGGCTTCTCTCAAGAGCCTCGCAAACTGCCAACGTCCCCACCGCCCGCATCGCCCCTATCCGCATCTGCGGGGTGCTACGTAGATATGTTGCTGGCTGTCGGTGCTCTCCAGCCCCTCGAGCTCCAGGGCAAGGTCTCCTGCCCCGTCGACATCGCGCCAGGCTGCCAACGTAAGCTGTTGGATGTGACCAGAGACATCGCTGCCGGTCTCCCTCCTCAGATATAGACGACAGGGCAGATGGCGAACCGTCCTCGGCGGAGCTGGCGGCGCCCTCGGGAACGCCGACGACGCAATCATCGAACAATCCATCTGCCAGCGTCTGCTACCACCAGGGGCTCGTCGCCACGGGTAGGTTGAATGACGCGAGAGTTTCCTGCAATGCTCGCCGGCAACTCCGCGGGGGTCGACCTTGACGCCGTCGAGGTAGACCTGCCGGATGCAGCTCGGGTTCTGCTGAAGGAACCATCAGATAGCCAGTCTACGGGTGCCGCCTGGCCACTGCCCAGCATATTTCTGGCCGCGTCCAACCCGACGCGTCCTTCGTGATCGGGGCCATGCGGCCCCCACCTGGTCGCCAACGTTGAACCGGCCCTCCCCGGACTCAGTAGCACGGGATTGACGTGTGCGATCGACGCCGCCCCGACCATGCGTTGCAGGGCAATCTCTCGGATGCGCCACTGAAAGCGGATTGGCTGCACTTCTCCAGAAGCAGAAGGGCTGCCCCCGGTGCCGCAGGCAATGGATACCTCGCCCTCCTCGTCTGCTACGAGTGGTGGCAGCAAAGACGGCTGCCGTCTGAAAGCGGCGTTGAACGGTGCGACGCCGACCACATGGTTGAGGCTGTTGCCAGCATGATAGCATCAGTCAGCACAGAGTGGAAATTCGCCGTGATACCCTCGCGCTCCAGCTGGTCTTCTGTGTCGCGAAGTGCGCGTCGTCGCATTGCACCACGTCGCTCGATGAAGCGAGCGTTCTAACGATGTCCCCATATCCATATGTACTCCTCGCCTCTTCATTTCCTCCGCGAAATATTGTGAAATCGCCCTGTCTGCGCCATCCACGATGAAACGTCTCCGTCGCACAGAACAGCTGTATCATTAAAGGTCGATGGCGGCAAGCAACGTCGAGTCGCGCTTGGGTGCGATCCTGGCCGCTGTGCCACAGCGAAGCGCAGCAATATCAGGCGCATGCTCCAGCAATCCTTGTAGCACAAGATGTCGCACTCCATGCTAGTTGAATCGTCTCGGAAGGCGGAGTGTAGAGATGGTCTGGCGAGCTGGTGGTTGCACCTGGTGGCACTCCGTACAACTGTCGACCACCGTGGGCGTGAGTTCGAGGATATATCGTAGCATGTTGGCTGCCCGTGGCGCTCGTGCCATCTCCTCCTTGGCGGCGCGCCACCGCTGGAACCTTAACTTGCGCAGTTCCCACACGCGTGTTTCCTGCGAGTCACCGCGTAGTGTTCGCAGAGACGTGGTGGCGTCGAAACGAATCCACTCTGAGGGCGTCGGGTGGCCGACAGATGCGTTGGCAACCCGTGGGGCTGATCGTCTGGGCGCTGTGCATGATCCTGGACCGGCTCGCATCTGGTCTAAATACTCAATCACCCGAACCACTGCTCTGCGGTCGAGTCACAGTCACCCGAACGGCCAACCCGAACCACAACACTAGATGCTTACCTGGCTTCTGATTCACCTGTGGGCGCCGGTGGAAGATCAGCCTCGCCTGCAACTCCAAGGTCTGCGCCGCTGGGTAGTTGAGCATGGGAATGATGTGCCCCTCCAGGTCGCGCTGCCGCTCGCGGGCGCTGGCCGGCGCGTGGGCGCGGCCGCGTGCTGGCATCCTCGAGCTAGCACTTGCTGAAATCGCGGGCGTACAAGGGGCGATCGAGTTCCTTCTCCTCCTAGCAGCTGGGCACTCCTAGTGGATCGGGGCGCTGTGAGGACAAC